GATTCTGCGCAATACACGCTTCAATTGTACATCAAACTCTTTTCTTTTATAATTAATTATTTATTGATGTCAATAATAAACTTGTTTATACATATACGAAACACATCGCTTTTTATATCACGCGATTTTAAATACAGTGTAAATATCTTTATAGGTGTTAATGTCTAGGTGGCGTTCTCCAAGATAAGAGACACACATTTATTCAATTATCTGTATTTACGCTAATCAAATCAGTTCAGGTCTTCTCCTAGCCACGACACACCAAATCTAGTCATTTTTTACTTCTGACTTTAACTAAGGCAATTTAAAGTTTTGTAAGTTAGTATGCAACCCTTTTGCTGATATTTAAATTTTTAAATTTCCAGAACATAATAAGTATATTAGGTTTTTAACTATATTCGTGCGGTTTGGCAAGAGATGACGTAACTTGATAAATCTTCCGATCATGTGAAGGAAACTTTGCGTCTGAAAAAGTGTTATGTTCTTCCTCATTACTTCAATATAAAGAAAACGTCAGCGAAAGTCATCGTATTTTGGTGGAAGTTTATAGTGAATATGCTCTAGTTGAGCGAACGTGCTAAAAGAGATGATTTTAGTTTCGAAGCTGAGATAAGATGAGAAAGCGCAAGCATACTTGATGAAGATTATTGCCAAATTCAAGAAGAGCTCGCAGCAACTTTGGGAATCACTCGAGCAGCCATTTCAAAATATTTATAAGCAGCCAGATACACTCTAAAGCAAGGTTATAGTGTGATTTATGAATTGAAGCCAAGCGACGTTAGAAAACGATTGGGCATGTCAGAAATGTTGCTTGAACGCTACAAAAACGTTTTAGCATCGATTACGACAGCCATAACCAACCGCAAAAAATCATATGTGAAACCTCGCTAACCAGCCAAATAAAGGGCAAAGTCGAATATCCATGACGCCAAGGTAATGCTCTGCATTTGGTTATATCGGAATGGCGTGCTGTAATATGAAACGCTACCGACAACAACTCATGAAATGGAAACGAGCTCTTGTCCGGAATTCGCTAAACACGCGGTAATAAATTTCCATCCTGACAACGCTCGGCCTCATGTTGGAAGATCAGTTAAAAATTATTTGGAAAACTGCGGCTGAAAAGTTTTGCCCCACCCTCCTTACAGCCCAGGTCTTGCCCCTTTTGACTACAAATTCCGATTGATGCAGAACGCTTTCACTGGAATACGGTTGTTATCAGAACAGATTATCAAAAGTTTGTTAAATTCATTCTTGGCCAGCGCAGTTCTTTGGTTATTGAAACCCCAAATTGTCATAAAAATGTAATAACAGGTCTTTTCTTAGGCATATTGAAGAGACAGAGCAAGTACCGTTTAAAAGGGCACCTGTTAAAAGCGCAAAAACAATCAACTCAAACAACACAGCAACAAGCAAATAAAAAACACATAAACAAGTCACTCTTAACAGCTTTGAAATGCATTGTAGCACCGTTAACACAATTGTATTTTCACTTCGTTTAAGCATTTAATGAGTGGCAAGCGGAACTACAAACGTTACATAACTTGGGGCATTACAAACGATACACGAATACCTCATTTCAGTGATGAAAACTAAGCGAAACGTTCCGTAAAGAAAATGTCATTTGAAAAAGTGTATTTTACATGTAATGTTGTTAGTACATTTAAGCGAAATTGTTGAGGAATATCTATATAACAAATACTCATTAATGAGGTGATATGACGTCAGTTAACCCAACAACTACATTTAGAACAAATGCAGGACAAACACTTGTTTGCACAACATGCCGTAAGGCAAAAATGCAAACATGGTTGTTGCTTATGCTAACTCATAACAAGATGCGAGATTACTTTTGTTTATGCACCACACTAGCATCTTGCATACTTTTACACCTAGTATTGCACCGTGGCATCAAAGCATGACAAATTATTCAGAAAAACATATTTCTGTATTCATTGATATTAATTGCAAGCAGGTTATACATATGTACATATACAAATACCTTGAATTTTGCTGAAGAGAATTTTATATAAGGCTAAGTTTGCGATCTACTGAACTGTGGGCACTCTCTTGTACAAATAAGAATATGGTATAATGAATATATATTAAACTAGCTTAACTCGACCTAAGTTAATGGTTACAATTTGAGTTTTTTTTTTTTGGACAACTTAATTAAGTTTTGAAGTTTTATTTTATTGCAAGCAATACAGCATTGGAAGCTACAATTTCGATAGATTAGAGTAAAGTATGTGGCCAGATATTTACTACACCTCTAAAACCCATTTGACTTGACTAATTTTACTTATTGTCATAGTAATATTTCGGTGTTATATAATTATATGTATATTAGTGGGTATTCTCGTCTAGAGGGCTAAAATTTGTGTATTTTTGAGGTTCGTTAATTTTCGATCAATATTTTTACTATCCATTTTTATCAAATATACAATTATATTTTCAGAGTTAAAAAATTAATTCAATGGGAAAAAATAAATTTCACCAAGCGGCACATTATTGAAGTAAATAGTGAAAAAGGGTGTATCCAGCTTTTGTTTTTTCTGTCAGTTTTTAACTTTTCCGAATTTTTTAAAAATAAAAAATTTTTTGATGTTTTTCACCACAAAATGCAATTTGCTCTATTTGAGGAAAGTGTAAAATATGTACTATAAATTAGTGTTACTCATACGCCACAGTGTACAAAAGATAAATACGAGAAAACTTGGAATATTTAATATAGGTACATCAAGTTTGCATCAAGCAACGCGGTAAGTTTGCAAAAGTACCAGACATCCAAAGCAAAATAAATCAAAATTCTTGTAAAACTTTATGTTAATATATATATAATAATTTACATATGCAGTATATCTGAATCAGGTTGTTCATAATTTTACGAATTTTAATGTTGAGGCAGAATTGTGCACCAAGTTGTTAAACGGTAAACCAGTTTGATATGGTTTTACGTATGCATATGTGAACTACAAATGCACTTTATTATTACTATTTTACTTCCTTACCGCAATTTCTGGCGTGGTTGTTGAATAGGTTTGCAAGTAACACAAATTAAATACTCATTTTAGGCTTAGCATTTGAGTTTGTCAACTGGTTTCGTATTTTCTACTGCACATTTGACAAACTTATACAAAACACGAAGTAATAAAGGCATTTAAAGAGGGAAGTTACACAACATCAGGCGCGTGATGACATAGAATTTAAAGGAGGTGCGAAGGTCTGAAAATAATCGGCTAAACCAACGTCTGGAGCTTTTCTATATACTAGAATAAAGACATTCGTTATATATTGTATATGGGTGCTTGATATACATATATCCAACAGCCGATTTCGTCTTCGCTTCAGCACCAAAATACAGTGTTCTCAAGATAATAGGATAACTTCATTGACAATGACAGATCGATAGTCATTATATGGTGCTAAGGCAGTTGTAACAAAACGACACATTATTATCAAAAATGCTCACTACGTTTTATTAAAATATCTTACAAATTATTCGACTTTTTCGGTATGAAGTTGTCACACACAATGAAAATAGTTGAGTGTGGGCAAATATTAGAAGGATTACATGTGCTAACCCAATATCTTCATGTGAGGTTTAATTTGCATATTGTAAGATAAAAGAATCTGCTGTAGCCTAAATTATTGTTATATGAGAAGTCGACGTAGTTTTAGTCCGATTTCACCCATCTCAAACTGTAACATAAGGATTTCAAGCGACTTTTATTTAACAAAAGTTGGTTAATATAACTTTATTAGTTAGTGAGAATATGTACTTAATCTATAGAGTCACGAACTTCAACATCATTGAAGTATGATGAAATACTGTTTGAAAGTACCAACGTTAAAAATAATATCGTCTCAACTAGTAATTTCACTATTGACACTACCTTAGTTGCGCGAGACTTATGTATCTTTACCTTGAAATGTGCTAATAAGTTTACATAAGTATAAAGGGAGAGAACTTAATAGAAATCTCTTTGAAGTCGCTTTCGTAACAATACCCTAAATAGGGTATATTAAGTTTACCACGACATTAGTAACGTCTAAACGTCAGAGACTCTATAAATATACACACATACATATATATGGTAAATGATTAGCGCGACGAGTTGAGTCGATTTAGCCATGTCCGTTTGTCTGTCCGTCCTTCTGTCTTTATATACGCGAACTAGTCCCTCAGTTTTAGCCTTAGTCAGATATCGATTTGAAATTTTGCGCACGTCTCACATCTTTGTCGAAACTGCCGATATCGAAAAACTGTAGCTGCTATTTAAACTGAACGATCCAACTGAAGTATTTGTATTGAAAAATTTGGCACAGATTATTATCCAAAGCATCGCTACAATCAACGAGGAAATTGTATAGATCGGGTAGCTACATGCTATACAACAGACCGATCAAAATGAATTTCTTGTGCGGGATCTTCTGTATTCAGGAAGGGTATTATAGCCTCGAACTTAACGTTTTTTCTTATTAAACTAGTTTTAGAATTAACGACGCTAATACTTATATGCATAATAGATAATATCTTTACATGCTTCTTTCAATACGGACTCGCAGCAGAAAGTTGATGAAAGCCATGGATATATACCACAAATTTTGCGTAACTATTGTACTTACTTCGGTTTTTATTTGGCTAAGCAACATTTTTTATAGAGAGTGTTACTCCTTACCGCGACATCTCTACGTAAAATTTCGCACAACAACGAATGGAAGGCAATTACGGCGACATCTAATGGGGAATCGCAAAATTATTTTGATATAACAAGTCTATTGTGAATATAAAAAGATGAAAGTTTCTGGTTCACGATAAAAGTTCATATTAAAATCCAATGACGTTAAATATTTTTGATTATTATAAATGTTGCAATACTCAATTTCTGTTTGCAAGTACCACCCACCGTCAAACCTCCTAAAACTTCAAGTTATGTTTTCAATATTTTTTGTAAATCCCTATATTTTTTTCAATAAAAAATAAATTATAACAAAGCTCTCATTTTTCAAATGCACAGCATATGATGACAGCATATCATATATTTCCAAATATAATTAGCACAAAAATAATAATTTTAGGCAAACAAGAAACTTTGTGAGTAAAAAATCAAATTGATATAAAACATTGCGAAGAGTACCATAAACACACAGGATCATTTCTTCTTTGCGTCCTTTAAACCGGCGCCCGCATTAAATTTGAAGAATATTATATCGCCATCTTCGACAACATAATTACGTCCCTGTTGACGATATTTGCCAGCGGATTTAGCTGCAGCTTCTGAACCCTCTTCCTTAAAGTCGTGGAAGTGCATTACCTCAGCCATGATGAAACCTTTCTCGAAATCTGTATGAATCCGGCCAGCGCCTTGTGGGGCTTTGGTACCTTTCTAGAAAAAAAATTAAGTAATATATACATGGTAATTCCTCCATTAACATATAATATAAATTGTGTGTTTGACATATTACCTGAATTGTCCATGCTTTGACTTCGTCTACTCCGGCAGTGAAAAAATACTCGAGCTGTAAAGCTTTGTAGCCTGTTACAATGATTTTATCTAACTGACTTTTACATTTAACTTCTTCTTCATACTCCTTCCGCTCCAGATCATCCTTTTCAGCTAAGGTTTGTTCAAAAGCTCCAGAAAAGGGGATAATTATTGCGCCGGGATCGTGTTTATCCACCCACTCTTTAATTTTAGGCAACCACTTGTTCTTTTTACGTATAAAATCTTTTTCTGATAAATTTACCAGATAAATCACTGGCTTAGTTGTAAGGAACAGATATTTATTTAGAGTTTCAATCTAGTGGAAAAATTAAAAAATAAAATCCATTACATAAAAAAAGATGTAAAAAAATTTTTCGGAGCTTACATCATGTGCATTCCAATCAGCAAATCGTAGTTGTTTTTTCTCATCCACTAAAACGCCTTTAATTTTTAACATTGAATCATATTCGGGTTTGAGCTTTTTATCTCCACCCCTCGCAACTACTTTTTCTAATTTATCTAAATTCTGCATAAGCTTTTCTTCATCTTTAAGTCTTAACTCCTCTGAAATGATATCTAAATCACGCACTGGATTTACTTCTCCTTCAACGTGTGTAACATCAGGATCTTCGAAAGCACGACATAAGTGGAAAATAGCATCACATGCGCTTATATGTGACAAGAAAGCATTACCAAGACCCTGACCTTCAGATGCGCCCTTCACCAGACCGGCAATATCTACGACATTGAGGTAGGCAGGCACTTTCCTAAAAACAAAGTCATATATGAGAATGTGAAGAAAACAAGTGGTAAAAATCTTTAAATTATACTTACGAAGCTGGCTTATGATAATCACATAGAAAATCGAAGCGCTCATCAGGCACTGGTACCCTACGTACTGAAATAAGAAAATCACTATTAACGCGAATTTCAACAAGTGGCGTCACAAAATTTTAACAGACTCAGTGTACTTAAATACTACTTTGCAATCATAATTGATACATCTGAATAATAACGAGACTAGTTGCATCTTTGTTTTTTCATTTAAAACAGGTTTTTATTATAATACTAATCTCCAATGGACTATCGCTAGTGGTAATGCACTTGAATGTGGCCAATCATTGCAATTTTCTATAATTTCCTGCAATTTTAAAATGTCCACAGGCAATAATGGCCGTTTCGAAGACGATTATCATTTACCATACCCAAGCCAACTTTATAGTTAGCTCTCTTTTTATATCATGGCAAGTATGTCCATTGGTAGACATTTTAACGAAATCTTTAAAATTTTTGCACAACGGCGAAGCAATTTGCATATGAAATTACCAACGCCCATTATTGCTTATTTTACTTGTTTCATTTATACTAAACCAAAGCTACGGGTTTGAAGGATTGGTTAATATCCCTCAACACAGTGGCCAACGGCAGCGCAACTAGTCGTAGAAACGTGTTTTCGCAGGCTCTATGTGAAATAATTTTGTTCACTAAATTACTATAATTTTATACTGTTTTCCAATAGCCAAATTGGCTATCTGGAGAAAATAGTAAAAATATAGGAAGCTTGCCAGCAGAACTGAGGAAAAGTGGAGTTTGACGCACCTTCATTTGACCTTTCAGCAGACTACAATGATCTGTACAATTCAGTCATGTGGTGCTATCCTGGCAGCACACAGGTTAATAACCAATGCTATTAAAATCTAAATTATCAGAATTATATATGAATATACAAAAAATGTTACTCATAATTGTGTCCAAAGGCGTATGTTATCAGCTCTACGAGATATTCGTACACAAAAATGGTAGGACAAAATTTAAAATTAAATGCACGTCAAAATAAATATTATTGGGATACTTATTCTCATTTGGATCGATGGTACAGAAAGGGAAGTTTTCCGCCGGCGCAGCACTCTTAGTGAGTACGTTGAAGAAAGTTGACTTGCCCACATTAGGCACACCTACAATACCGATGCGTAAGTTAGTGCCAATACGACCAATTAGTGGTTTGCGTTCGGGCTCTTCTTGCTTTTTAGGTGGCATAGTGCACTTTTATTTGTCTGCAAATTAATACAATATTCATTAGCAGATAGGTACTATTAATGTTTATATATTTTTATCTATTTATGGTAACTATTTGTTTCGTTGGCAGCAACATATTAGAGTGGTAAGGAATGTGTGTAGTTGTTTCATTCGAGCACATAACCTCAACGTAGAGAATATAAACTTACCTCTTTGAGTTCACGCAATCTCGATTGAGCAAATTAAAAGTAATTTTTTTCGTATTATCACAAAAACCGTATTATTTTAATATAATTCACCAATTCACTTGGAAATTAGTTTTATTTTACGATCCAGCCGGCAAGGAATCAATACGGTCGCACACATGCACGTAGAGAGACGTCAGCTGTCAAGTCAAGCCCGGAGTTGTGACGGGTCATCATTGTGAATGCAACGTATGTCATTCACAATAACCAATACTTTAAAAAATATTTTATGCAGTAAATAGCATAATTTTTATTTTAATTCACTTTTATTATTTTATATACACAATTTCATTCTTAAGTCGGTTATGCATAACCATAAAACAGCACATAAAAAATTTGCAAAATCTATTACTAAGAAGTCACAGCTATACTCAGTGATACTTTTCACAAAGATTAGGGCATGACGGTGTCTCAAGAGTCTAAATAGGTGCGGATTTTCGAACAACTGCCTAGTTTTGTTCCTGCAGAGACAGTCATAGCCTCACATCGTGGAATTAAAGATATCATAAAGTACACTTTGCTTATAATAGAGGTATGCCAGATTATCTCAAAAATAATTTTAAAACAAAAATGGCCCTGAAATTGACACAAGCATCAGGTTAACGATCCCAAACATCTGAATAAATCTGTTTTCGAAACAGCAGCACTAAATCGCATAAATAATATAAGAACAATCGTAAAGAAGTATTTCGGAATACAAGAAATAGTCTATGAAATCTAAGGGAAACATCTTTCAAATCCCTCTATAAATCAATGTTTTCTCACGTTCAGCGGTCATAAAACAAACATCTAACGATCTTTATGCTATCTGATTTTTTTTTAGTTAAAAATTTTTTGATATAATTATAATGTTTTTGGAGCTATATGAATAAAATGATTTTTTTTAAAGAGAAATTTTGTATTTTAAATTTCTCTAAATATATGCCATATTTCTATGAGATAATGTGCGAAGAAGACTCCTCGAATAAATGAAAGCTCTGACCCCACGGAAGAAAAAAGACAAATATTGTATTTAATAACTATACATACATACATATAAAACCAAATATATGAAAAATCTTTATTAAGTTTTTGGTTACATGATAACAACCTAGTAATATAAATGTATCTAGTAATTAAAACCTGATCATTATTCTGACTACAATACGTTTACTTCTTTTATAACACATCTCTTGTATTAAAATCAGGCTGTTCTCAATTTATTTAAGAGTTAAGTTAGTAAAAGTACTTAGTGGATATCCTAAAAAGTTTCTGCTGTTTCACAGTTCGGCATCGTCCGCAATTCCTTCATCAGCTTTAACGGGGTTTACCGGTTTCATCATCATTTAGTCCGGTTCACAAACATTAACTTGTTCTAATTTCCTTTCTAAACTAACCTTCACTTTTTTATACCTTGATTAGGGTATATTAATTTAAGCCACTATGTTTGTAACACCCAAAAGGAAACGTGAGAGATCCTCTAAAGTAGATATATATATGTATATATAATATAAATGATCAACGTGACGAGCTGTGTTTTTGTTTGATATCGATCTGAAATTTGTCACAAGTCATTTTCTCAACAAGAAGTTGATCATTTGTCGGAACTTCCGATATCGGACAACTATAGCACATAGCTGTCACATAACTGACCGATCAAACTAAAGTCCTAGTATGGACATTTTTTTAATTTGACAAGGTATTATCACGAAATGTTTCATACCATAGGTTATTATACAAAGCATCGTTATAATCTCCGAACATATTGTTCAGATTGGGCCATTATAACTTATTGACTGATCAAAAGATAGATAAAGATCTTTGTATACCCTTTTATGCTATAAAAAAATGCACTTGTAAAAATTGTTATAGCTTCGGCGCAGCCAAAGTTAACGTTTTTTCTTGATTGAGACCTAACAATGTTATTCTATTGATTTCTGAAGGCTCAAAACACATTAAAACAAGCTTATAAATTTACAATATAAACGTAACAGCGATATTCACATCCTCCACGGTTTTTCATACTATCCACGCCCGCTTCCCAAATAACGGTTGTGTTGAAAACTACTAAAAGTACTATAACTCACTGAATAAATGAGTCACAAGCATTAAACTTCACAACCAGGATGATAGTGAAGGGCTCTTTAGGTTTTGGTGTGAAAATTGGACATGGGGTGTGGCACCGCCCACCTTTAGATGAAATCCTATATCACAGGAACTTATCGACCGATTTAAAATTTGGTGTATGTGATACCCAAACATTCCTATTAGATACTGCAAATATGGGCGAAAAAAATAGAAAACTTTAAGGCGAAGGACTTTAACGTTAAAATTAAGAGCTCATCCTTGGAGAGTCTAAGCACCTAGTTTTCTGAATAACCAGCAAAAAAAAATATTCGTTATATTTTGCCCACTCTTATATACTTATTACACTAACACAGTTTATCGAGTGTAAACTACTTAGACTATACTCTTGTTTCAAGTCCGACATAAAACCGCTTATCTGAATTGGGCTTAATATCTAAAGAATGTTAAGGTCAAATCACTTAAACTGTTATTGATTGATCATTATTGTTGCAAGTGATTTCATATCTGCCCTTGCACTCTTCTATTTGCCTGCCATTTATTGCGTTATGATATTGTGATTCCGATGACGATCCGTATATTCTTAGATAAAATGCGCAAAGCACGTATATGATTTTATTATGATTATTCTTTAAAATACGAACTCGTTGAATATAATTAGGTGCACCATTTACTAAAAAAGTTCCAGGTTGTTGAGAATGTTATGTGGGAACTGTCGCCGTAGCTTGCTTTGACTTGCTGTACCGTGAAATGTGAAGGAGGTAATGTGAAAAAGAAAGGTGCATCACGTAGCAGTAATCTTTTCTGCGTTATGGCATAATTTTCGCATTATAATTATTTCCAAATAGTTGTATTCGAATTAGTTAACATGAATGTGCACATAATTTCACACATGTGTGTCTGCAACTTTGTTGTTGTAATTTTTTTTTATTGTGCTTTGACGTTATTAGACGCTTAACGGAGTAAAACCATATAAAATACCCTTAAACATTATTTTCAATAATATTGCGGTTTCTATCAAAATGCGTTTTTAATAGCATTTTAACAACATCTTTTGCAGAAGACCCAAAGCCGCAATGTGGCTTTAGCAACCGATATAGAACGATGGTATTGGTGCTTTTATCGGTTGGCGTCCTTTTGTCAATTTTTGCTTTCAATACATTACAAACTGCATTAACCACATGAAATTACTTTCAAGGACATTTTACACATGTGTCACGTGACCGAATTGACTCAAAAGAAGTATTTTGACGGTCAGTCAAGCAAGCACTACTTGTCGTCTTCACAATGGTTAATAGCCAAGAAGCAATTTTGCGGTCAATCGCAATTTACAACCCTAAACGTTGCCACTCAATGCTGTACCGAACTCTATACGACATTGTTATTGTAGAGCTTCATCAGTTATATTGAAAAATGACCATAACAGTAGTTTATATTTAATTAAGTTGAGACGCTTGAATGCGTATATGTTTGTAGGTTGCGGTCAACGAGTTCGGAACTTTAGTCTTTTGTTTGGTCTCACTTGAGAATTGAGACGATAAAATTGAGAAAGGTCAGTTATGTGGTAAGTACTAATTATTATTTGTCTTATTATTAATATACAATTGAAAAAAAATGCATAAATCACAAAATAATAAGAAAAGTTTCCCAACTATGAAATATTTAAAAACAATTGTCTATTCTAACCTAAAACTCAAAGCATGTGTTTTGTTACATGGTAAATCCAATAATCTAAAAGTCTAAGTAAATAATAAATATTTATCATGACAATAAAAACAAGTTTTAAACAATTGATATTACCCAGCAGAACAATAAATATACAACGAAAAATTAATATATGATATTTAGATGGCCATAATTTTTCCCTGGTTCTGTTAATTTTTACGTGGCATGTATGGAACATGGGCCGCACATGTCGACTATTAAAATTCAAAATGAATGATATAAAAACTCTTGTGTGAGTCCTATCACTGATTGACATGCCAGCATACTAGGGATACCACACAACGACTATTGTAGAAGCTATCGGTCGAGGGTTTCTTGACGATGCCTTGGAAGTTGCATCAGAAGCACAGGGTGATTCAGAGAGTACATAATAGGGTGAAGGGATTTTAGTCCTGGTGATTTTACTATGGGCGTCATCAGATATCCACCCTACCTACCTAGTTTTGTATCCTAATCGTGATAGATGTAGACTTACGTATATACAAGCATGTAGTTATGACATGTAATATATTAAGTAAAGAAAAGCCATATCAATAAATAGCACAATTTATGTCAAAGTAAACCGGAGCCATGGATATTCTCATATTCAGTCGTTAAGGGAGATGTGGACCGATTTCGTTACCCTTGTAAATATCCGATAAAAAAACAAAAAAGTTGATTGCATTTAAATTGTGGTTACCTGTAATCACAATTTACCCATTTACACACTATATCATAAGGAAAAATGTAATTGTTATAAGCCAAACCGGTGAGGTACCTCGTAAAATATGATAATCTAGAAAGTAGCGCGAATTTTGTATTTCTTAGGAAAGTGTTTATTTACTCATGAACATCTATTTTGTCCTCTTTAAATACGCGATGCATTTTGACCAAACCTAGTACGGTATTAAACATATGTTGATGACACCGTTTGATATATTTTTCTAATCTCCACTGCGCAAGTCTACCGCTTAGTTCGGAAGACTTTAATGTGATAAAGTGAGGCATACGTATATAAAATAATCACTATAAAATAAGACATAGCAATGAAACTGGACGATCGATTTTTAAAATTGACAAACAATGATAACTGATCTCTGAGATCATATTTGTTAAAATAAATTATATATGTATACACCCTTATATTTTTACGATTCCTAGATTATTTCATATATTGTTTGGTTCCAACCGAATTTAATATTTTCTTACTTGTATATTTTACTTTTCCTCAATATAAGTTGTAACGAAGAAAGTGCTCTTAATTTTTTAAAAATTAAATTAATTTTCATTTAAATATATTTTAAAATACTGCGCTGTGAGTACACGAAGTTAGCAGATGAGGAATAAGAAGAAAGAAAGCTACAAACTAAATGTGAATTAATACAACACAGTTT